TTGGCAATTTTGTTTCAAGACGTAAAATTTTTCTATAAATCGAAGTTATCACGGGGTTCCTAAAAATCTATATATATAAAAGAAAGTCGTGTTAGTTACACCACTTATAACTCAAGAACGGCAGAACAGATTTGGCTGAAAATTGGTAGGAAGGTTGCTTAGAGCCAGGAGACCGACATAGGATACTTTTTAAGTAATACTTTTTTTTTACTTTTTACCGAAAGCCACGAACGGGGACGGGAAAAAATGGGATTACGCGTACGAAGTCGCGGACAGAAGCTAGTCTCTTTATAAAAAAAACTATATAAAAAAGATATGCACTTGATAATTCGAACGAAAAAATCATCGCTACGTAACCAAATGACCCGTTAATTCGAACTTACATCATCACATCAACAGCCTGTAACTAACTATTGCGTGCCAAAGGCTTCTTCTTACACGGAGAAGGTTTGAGCATTAAACACCACGTTTGTTCAATGCGGGTTGGCGATTGCAAACTTATAATTAGAAAGTATAAGCCCAGGTTTCCTCACGATGTTTTTAAGTTTATTATATATTTATAACTAGGAAAAAATCCCATTGGTACTTACCGTTAGTCCTCCGCGCCACCACGTCTTATTTAAACTTATTGGCGTTAAACTGTCGATAATCCGAAGTTGCAGAGAGAAAAGGACAGCAATATCGTAGAATTTGCTGACGTAAGTACCTAAATTGTGAAGATGGCGGACCATTTCATATTTAGAACATTTTAATCCGAAATATTTTAAAAGTCCTTCGAATTTAGAATGAACACGATTGTAAATAAATTTCTTTTTGGCCTGTATTGTTTCTAGGACCTATCATTACGGATCACCTGTTATTTTGAGCTGAATTTAAACTGATATCAAATCTGGTTACCTACTTCGTTTTTCTCCTTCTAAAAAGCTGTATGTACAATAATTAGAGATTATACCAATGTATGTATCAAAATCCATCGAAATGCATCTAGCCGTTCTTGCCTATTACAGTGACAAACACTCATACCACAATAACTTTCCTGTTTTTCTTATAAACATGTAATTTACACGTCAAACTTACTACCTCCTTACTGTCATGGGAATTTAGTTCGTATAGGTAGCGATATAAGGTAGAAATCAATTTCCTTGATAATATTTTCCTTCCCTGACCCTTAATTACATACGTCAATAAAATGTAAAGGGAAATAGCATTTTGCTGACGTCTTTAAGTGCACATACGTCACCATCTGCATTCTGTACATGCATAAACTTACTGTCAATGTACAGTGGCATTAAATGCCGTAATTTGTACCTCTGCCTACCCCTTCGTGGATAAAGGATGTCATGTTAAGTTATATCTTCTTTGAGGATTGTTGGAGATTCGGGGATTGGGAACATTTTGAATGGGGGAACACAACGCAAGCGTTGTTTCCCGTCAGTTTTCTGTGACGCAATAGTATCACTCTGGTCGAGTTGGTCCATTCGTACCAAACCATGGTTTCTTCCTCAACCTTTGTCGCTTTTTTCTTAAGATCGCGTACCTTTATGAGACCATTTTAAGTTCTCTTTAATTTTATGCTTGCACTTACGCTGCAAAAATTGTTACAAACAGTTTATCGGGGTTCACGGGGTTCACGGTAAGCACGATAGCGGCGGCGGGGTGATGCATATTTCGCTTGCTCAGCAATCCTCAGTGGCGATGACGACTGCGACAAAACTGTTGACGCGGAACTGACTGCCGACGTATTGAGGTCAGCTCCACGACGCGTGTTGATATTCGTTGCACCTGATGATCATGACCCACTTACTGTTACTAAGTTGCACAAATCACCAAATTCCTTATTACAATGTTGTGTAGTCTCGTTTTAATAAGGGCGGGAAATCATCGAATGACTGCTCCTGCCTGGGTGAGGCGAGAGGGAGTGTCAGACTCTTACTGACTAAAAACTACCCCGTTCCTACTCCTGGCCTTCGTGCCAAAGCCTCGGCAACCCCCTAAGTCCTCCGCGGCTTCGTATCGGCATCAGCCCTATTGGGGTCCCATCCGTGGTGGTCTGATGGCTCTTTGAAGCGCACGCGCTTACAGTGGCCGGAGATCGTCCTGCGATTCCCGACGCCCGGAGTGTCCTTCGCGATGGGTGGTTTGTGAGGAGGCAGCACTTCGCTGCCTCACGCGCCCCGCCGCCTCAATATTGTGTAGTCTACATTATGAATTAACTTACGAGTTAAAAATCGCAAACCTGCCACGATTAATGGTCAAACTTCTCAAACGTCAAACGTCTCTGAGTACGGGCATTAAGACCATTTAACCCGTAGATAAGTAATTTAGAAAATGAAGGGAAGTGTACAATTTGTACCAATCATGGAGACTTGTTATGAAATTGTGCAACAATCTAGCAATAGGACTACAATAGAAACAGTGTCCTAAGAATAGCTGTTGTATAGTCATACATATTGACAAATAGACATTGGACAACGTCATCAACCGTATGCGAAGTACCTAATAGCAGAATAGAACATATTTGACCACCCCTACTCTTTCCGAGGGTGTAGAAAAGCAGACGATTAACTAATGAATAATGTACTTTATCAGGCTAATCCTTTTAGTTTGAAAGTAATGTGCCTTAGACGGACATACTGAGCAGGGAGCTCTTGAATCCAATTCCAATCGATCCACATTGGTATTTTGAAATTTTTGGACTGTTGAGTTGCAACACTAGCGCCCATTGCATCCGTATTGCGTGGATATTGAATGAACCATAGATATATTAAAGTTTCTGTGGAATGAACTAACTAGTATTGAGTTTGGTTTTTATATTTCGTACTCTGGATGCTATTTTAACAGTATAGTAAAAGTTGTATAGTATTGACATTGAATAATTATTGAGATTTTATTGGATTGAAATTGCATTGACAATGAGATTGATTTCAAGAGTAAGTGCCCAAATTGGCGATATACTATAGTATCAATACATAGTATAAAACAAAGTCGCTTTCGCTGTATGTCCGTATGTATGCTTAGATCTTTAAAACTACGCAACGGATTTTGATGCGGTTTTTTTTAATAGATAGAGTGATTCTTAAGGAAGGTTTGTATGTATAAAACATGCATATTGCACCCGTGCGAAGCCGGGGCGGGTCGCTAGTAGTTAATATATTAAAGAAGGGCCAAATTAAAAGTACCCTTAACCAATGGCATGCATGAAAATATTGATAACTGTTGATGAAGCGAAAGAGGTATGTAGGAATCGTAGTAATTGGTGTTCCATAGTCTCTGCCTACCCCCATGGTAAGTTATGTATGTATATAATGTGCTCTAGCCACAGTTCTAGTCTGATTGATATAGTTTCAACCGATTAAAAATGTGGTTCGCAGTTTGACCTGTATATATGTATGTCTGTATGTACCTATGTATGTTTGTTTGTACGTTTGTGCCCAATTATCCCGCGATTGGTTGATCTAGTTTTAATGCGGTTTTCATATAAGTGTATGTTACTAATTAACCGACTTCAAAAGGTTTTTTTAAGTTTTTGAAACGTAGTATTTATGAGTTATTTTGACGTCTCACTAAACCTAATACCCTAACCAGGTTAAGGTTAGGTTAGGTACCGAGGTACAGTAATAATAGATAAAAAAAAATATTTATTTTTTCATCATATTACATAGTGATGTAGACTTTAATACTAGTTTTATAATATTGACAAAGTTTGTGAGAGACTGCTTCTACATTATGGTTTTGCGTAGTTTGAGTGACAATGCAATGATGAAAGGCCGGAACCCAAATTAGGACAACCTGTGCTATGAGGTCCTGGCCTTTCCCTCTCAGTAGAAATATGTTAGTAATGATAAAATGCAGTACATATATATTGTTATTGGATTATTTATTGGGTTTTTTTAAACGTTGCCCGCACACTAGGATTTTCTCCTGTGTCGTGGGTGCGTTTACAAACATACAAGTTCACATACACATGACACCCAGACCCGAAACAACAATCTGTGGTTCACACAAGGAATTGTTACGTGCGGGAATCGAACCCGCGACACGTTGCGCGGCAGCCAGTTGCCCAGCCACCGCACTAACCGTGCAGTCAGCAGGTTAATTGAAGGTTCTTAATTAACAAAGAAAATAAACAAAACAGTTCTAACTATGTATTTATGACATAGTTTGTGTTAAAAATATTGTCACCATTCGCGACGATTTTTTTGCCGGTCAGAAGGTTAAAGTGATGTTACGAAATATTGTGCAATCTTCACTTTATTATATTTGATATCAATTTGCGACCATATGAATACAAATAATAAAGGATATACATATTTCCCTAAAACGTGTGAATAAGATACTAGAACTAACCGCAAATTTCGATAGACATTAATAAATATTGATTATGTTCATAGTACCTACATAGGTATGTTTATTTATGAATGTGGCAATCTCTTAAAATAGCATTTAGAAAATAAACTTGATAATAACATAACATGACATCACGCCTTTTATCCCCGAAGGGTTACGCAGAGGTGCACAGCCACTGTACAAATGTAACACCCACTTTTCACGATTTATGTTATGAGTCCCATGTAATAGGGTGTGAGCCTATTGCCATATACCGGACACAATTTCAGACTCCGTGCTACTGCTGAGATTTTTTTTAAAACCCAATAATACTTTGGCCGACCCGGGAATCGAACCCGAGACCCCTTGTACGGCAGTCGCACTTGCGACCACTCGGCCAACAAGGCAAACTTGTTTATCTTATATTATTATTACTACTATTTAAAGCTGAAGAGTAAGTATTTGTTTGTTTGAATGACCTAATCTCAAGAACTAGGGGTCTGATTTGAAAACATATTTTTATGTTGAATAGTCCATTTATCGAGGAAGGCTATAGGCGGTAAAACATCATGGCACGATCAATAGGAGCTGAGCAGATCAGGTGATACAGTACAGCACGGGAGTAACTATGTAGTATATTATAAAACGTATAAAACCCATGTTTTCTGTTTCAGTCAATCTCAGCGTGCTATGCTCTGGTATTGGCTTGGCCTGGCCTTCCCCAGTGCTGGTGAAGCTCAACAATGCCACAGAGACAGTACTCCCGAGGGTCATCACGGCTGTGGAGGGATCCTGGATCGTCTCCATCGGTTTCTTGACTGGAATTGTAGGTGAGAAAGTTTTGAGATGGTAGGCGAAGATAAGATTAGCCAAAATTTTTACTTCTAAGTATTTGAACTTACAAGATAGCAAAAATGCTTCATCGGTTTTAAATGTCAGATTGGGTTAGATAGGGCTAAACATATTAAAACTACCAAGTTTGGTTTAATCTTAAGGCTATATTTCACCAGGACACCATGGCGTCCAACCAGTCACCGCTACTAACATTTATACAGCTCTATATACAGTAACTTACCTGGTAGCCGCTTGGTTGCGCGACCAACATGGTGGCGTAACCAACTCGGACGGCAGCATTAGATGTCTATTTTGATACTGTCAATATCGAATCTGGTGTCTGTTTCAAACAGACTGTTTGGTACTTAGTCTGGCAAAAAATAACGATCTTTTGTCTAGGTTGCTAGTCCAGCGCTATTTCAAATTTTCAAGGGGTACTTATATTATTATTTACTAACCAAAATGATAAGTTTCATTGATACATTTTATGCTTTGTAAATAAACTTACAGACTAAATTATAATTTTTTTAGCTATAGGATATTAGAAGGTCGTTAGAATTGTGATAAACATGTTAATAGATCTGCATTCTTAACGTAAATATTGTTATATTGACATAAATTAATTTGGCTGTCATAATATTAGTATGGATATTCCTTACGACGCGTGAGACAAAAAAATCAAAGATCATGATTAAGGACATAAGCAATAAAACAAAATAAAATCAGTTGGGGTCAACAGTAATAAGAAAACACAAAAATCAATAACACGAAACTAAACTAAGCATCATCTCTTAACAATCCCATGACAGTTTCTTTTTTTATCATAACATAACATAACATCAAGCCTTTATATCCCCGAAGGGGTAGGCAGAGGTGCACACAAAAGTAACAACCACTTTTCACTATTTATGTTATGAGTCCCATGTTATAGGGGGTGAACCTATTGCCATATACCGGGCACAATTCCAGACTCCGTGCTAAAACTCAGAATTTTTAATATTGAAATATGTTTACTGTATTTACTGTACAGTCACTGACTGTAGATCGGGTGAAGTGAATCATTTATAATAACAGTCTAAGCTAAACGCAAAACGGAACGTTTATTAAAATTATAAGTACGTGAGCTCGGTCAACTGTGTAATTCAGGCACCAACTTACTCACCCATGGAAGATACTTATCACACGTGTGACACGTTTTTAAACTTTTTTTATGGCATAAGCCAGTAAACGAGCAGACGGATGACCTGATGGTAAGCAATCGGTGTCGCCCATGGACACCTGGAACACCAGAAGCGTTACAAGTGCGTTACCGGCTTTTTGGGGGTAAGGAGTTTCAGGATCGTTAGGGATTCAGGGATTGGGGAGATTGTAGAAGGGAGGGTAAAAAAAACTTTAATGAAATAATCTTAATCTAAATGAATAATAAGTAATCTTCCATGTTATTAGTTTAACTCTGCTTCGTTAGTCGAATGACCTTTTTTTGAGCGGAGAAAATCATCCAATGACTTCTCCCGGCTGAGTGAGGCGAGAGGGAGTGTCAGACTCTTACTGACTAAAAACCACCCCCTTCCTACTCCTGCACTTCGAGCCGGAGCCCCGGCAACCCATTAAGTCTTCGGCAGCTCCGTATCGGTATCAGCCCTATTGGTCACCATCTGTTGTGGTCTGATGGCTCCTTGAGGAGCGCGCGGCACGCGACGCTCCGTCCCCTTTGGCCCTGAACCGGGTCTGGTTTTGATCGGGTGGCGAGTCCCCCGTGTTCGCAGGCCCGTGCTTACATTACAGTGGCCGGATATAGTTGGTCGAATGACCTCGATATTCGAGTCACATTAAAAGATTTTGTGGTTCTTTGGAATTTCAAATTGTAACCTGATATGGTAATATGTTCAGGCTCACCTCAAAGTCAAATAATTTATTTCTATCTAGACTATATACGGAACTTTTAGCAGAATAGCTCGTCAATCTGTTCGTCAGTAAACTTAGGTGCTCGCCTACTGTAATAAATATGAGCCTGATAACATTACTGGCCCAATTATCAATTTCCTCAATCCCCGAACCGCCACAAATTCCTAATCTTCCAAAGGCCGGCAACGCACTTGTAACGCCTCTGGTGTTTTGGGTGTCTATGGGCGATGACACCCATAGACCATTTGGGTGTCTATGATTCAACTTGCACGGTTCTCACACATAATCTTTTATACATATTGTCTGGACTTTAAAAGAGACAGACCTCTGAGTTTGTTTCGGCATTTCTTCTCAGAGTAATCAGTTAGGAAATGTCGACCTCATCGTTCGCTTAATAAAATTGACGTGTAAAAGTGTTGCTTTGTAGCCTATTTGCAGAAATAAATTCACTTGTTTCACTTGTTTCACTTGATGTCGATTGCTTACCATCAGGTAATCCGTTTTATGTACAACTTTTCATGTTATAATAACAAGTATTTTTCTCAATTCCAGCAAACCTGATCATAGGAACGGTCCTAATAGACCGGTTTGGCAGAAAACCGTTCCTGATCTTCATGTGTCTGCCTAAGTTTGTGACTGGCTTCCTCTACATATACGCAACAGAAGTCTGGATGTTGCTACTAGGCAGAGCTCTGGTGGGCATAGCTGATGCTGGCATCTTTACCATACTGCCCATGTATGCTTCAGAAATTGCTAGCGTGAGTATATTTTTGTTTATCTATTGGTGTTTTGAAGTGTGATTTGTATGATAGAGGAGACCGTCGCGTTGGTAGATGGCGCCCTATACAGATATACGTATATAGACCAGATTAGTGATAGATTAAAGAAGGGCCAAATAAACAGTACCCTTAACCGACGAGCATACACGAAAAGACTAATGACTGTTAATGAAACGAAAGGAGTATGTAAGAATCGTAGCCATCGGCGTTCCATAGTCTCTGCCTACCCTCATGGGAGCCAGGCGTGAGGTTATGTATGTATGTATGGAAGTGAGTTTGACTTTTAGGCTATGCAAATTATTTATAATATTTAATATTCAGTTACGGAATGTACTCTTAAGTTGTAACATGGAACTCATCAATATAATAAAATAAGCGGAAATTGGAATGTATCTTCTCATTCTTATACTTTTCGTTTGAATGTCTATGACTGCCCCGTTGGCCTAATAGTCGCAAGTGTGACTGCCGGGCAAAGTATTACTGGGTTTTAAAAAAAATCTCAGTCGTAGCACACAGTCTGGAATTGTGCCCGGTATATGGCAATAGGCTCACCTCCTTACATGGGACTCATAACATAGATAGTGAAAAGTGAGTGTTACATTGTACAGTGGTATAATGTGCACCTCTGCCTACCCCTTATGGGGTTAGTCGCGGAGAACCTAACGGGTAACCGGGGCTCCGGCTCGAGGTGCAAGAGAAGGAACGGGGTGGTTTTTAGTCAGTAAGAGTCTGACACTCCCTCCCGCCTCACTCAGGCGGGAGCAGTCATTCGATGATTTTCCCCCCTTAAAAAAAACCCCTTATGGGGTAAAAGGCGCGATGTTATGTTATGTTATGTATTTGCCTATTATTGAGACGCCTTCTCAATATTATGTATACTTTAAATTACAACAATAATTTTCTACAATTCATTTTGCTAGCGTTGTCGTCTCTAATTACATTACTTTACACACTTAAAAAACTGCACATCGCACAGACTTAATGCTTATACAAAATTAATTACTCAAAAACGACAAAAATCGTCGACTTATCACTATAAACAATGAAAATTAAATATGCAATGTGCAGATAAATACCCGATTTTTAATAATTAAAATCAGTCATTCATAAAATGCTCATAAAGCATAATTACCTATAATTTTGTGAGAATTATCTACGTCATTATTTTATGTAAAAAAACGTTCACAACACTATAGTAGGTAGGTATTTATTTGTTGGAGTTTTTACTCCATATAAAAACATAATGTAATTATATTGTGAAAGATATAAATTAATTATTAATTTAACGTGTACATGTTTACTATAATTACCTGTGTTTACTATAAAACATGACAAGAGGGAGAACTCGCTCACTGATGGTTCGTTCGTTTGGTAGTACCTATATAAGTACTTTTTACTAGGTACAAATCTATACTAATATTATAAAGAGGAAAGATTTGTACCTATTTTTTGTATGTTTGTAATGAATAGGCACAAAAAATAGGTACTGGGCTCATTTAAAAAATTCTTTCACCAATAAAATGGATGGACCTGATGGACCCTATTCTTCCAATTTGACATAGGCTACATTTCATTTTGAAAAAAATTAGGGATCCTTAGTAAAATTTGAAAAATGTAACCGAAGGTGTAGAAAAATGAGTCTTAAAATGTCTTTCGTCGAATGCGCTGCCAAAACTATTAGTGATAGAACAAAATAATGTACAACAATATTGAAGAACATCATAATGGCTACAAAAAACTCCGCGGTAGCATATGTCTAACTATTGTAGTTATGTCACCACAACAATTCAAATTTCCAAAAATAAATAATTGTCTACCCCGTGCGAAGCCGGGACGGGCTGCTAGTATTAATATATTTGTATCTTCATTCTAACTTAACTGGCCCTTTGCCAAACGTTCAATACGATTATGTTCTATATCTGAGTACTTATTAGTATTTAAAAAAAGAATACGCCTATTGCAATAGGAGGTACCATTTTTTGCTCAATAGATGGCGTTAGTGTGAGCCTTTTACAAGACTGGTCATTCAGTATTTGACAGTTACATTCGTAAAATATTAGGTACTTGCCTTCATCTAAAATAAATTATTTCAATAGTTCAATACAATAACAAATAAGTATTGCAATGCTATTTGACGCTAAATTAGCGTGACGTCACAATACAAAATTCATAGAAAACTTTCGTTTTAAACAGGTCGAAAAAAGTATTGAATTTGTATAGTTGGCAAGTACCCAATTAGCGCCCTTATTAGCACACGCTCTATTATCTTAAGCCTTTGACTGCTATCAGAAACCTGTCACCGGTTTAACCTAGGTACGTGGCAGTTGACGTGTTAACGGGATACAATAATACCGATGGCAAATAAAAAAATATAAGTATTGTCGTTGCAAATAAGCTTACGAATCACCTGCAGAAAATTTGTAGCCGAAACCCGTATGTCTGCAACACCGAAAATATGGCTAAATGTTTGAAAATGTTTGACATCCAGTAGTCCTGGGCGCTTACTCTTGAAACCAATCTCAATGTCAATGCAATTTCAATTCAATCCAATAAAATCTAAATAATTATACTCACTTATTACTCGGGTAAAAATCTACTTAGTATGGGACAACGTTATTAAAAAAAAAGTTCAATGGTGGGACACTAGTGAATTCCCTATTCATCATATTAGCCATCTCATGACCAATTGGGTGAGCCCTATTGAAAAATGTTAACTCCAACTTTACTCATACTGTGTCATACTTTTTTCTTCTTCTCCTCTACGAAGAGAATCAGGAGATATTATAATCTTCTGATTCACTTCGTTGCGGGAACCAAGACAGTTACTCATGTCGTGTTGTTATGGTTGTATCTACTGTAGATCCTGGCTTACAGGAGTTGCAGCGGTTTAAGGAGGTTGTGGCGGGGTTGTCCCTTTAAAATAATTACTGTTTCATTGTCTACCACTTAAGTAAAATAAATCTATTTCAATAATCTTATCCACAAATTTTCCAATTCCAGAAAGAAATCCGCGGCAGTTTGGGCACTATCCTCCAAATCATGTGCTCGTTTGGTGTGGTCACCATGCTGTCCATGGGACCCTTCATATCCTACACGACGCTGAACATGATCTACACCGGGTTCATCATATGTACCACATTGCCGTTGCTGTTACTACCTGATGGACCCTATTCTTTGTATTCTAGAGGTACCTACAGAAATTGATTAACATTGTACAATGCCTTGCTTATATTAAAACTTTCGTGAAACATATTCGACTGCAAGGTTGGTGCGATGGCTGGGCATAGATATTAAAAGTCAGCAGCAATTACATTATATTATAATGTTATAAAGGTGCTCCCTCACCGGGAGCATTCGCGTGTAATGTAACGTTACAGGTCTGAGCATTACATCAGTGAAGGAGGAGAACCGAGCATTACAATGCGCTCCTTGTAATGATACAATGTGTAATAATATTTTGATACAACTTGTAACATCAATGTCTGACATCTTGCTATGAATTGATCAAAGTCGAATCTTTATGTTATATTACACGTGAGAGGGAGCACATTTATGGTTGTTCTTTTAAAATCTTAATAATTTGATTTCGAAAAGTGTTTTATTTACCCATCTTAACCACTTAATCTTTCCATTCCAGGTCATAAAACAGAAGCACTAAAGGTCTTAACATTCCTCAGGTGTTCAGAAGTACAAGCCAAAGAAGAATTAGCAGAATTTGAAAAAGCTGACGAAATGAACACGGATAGTGTTTCCAAAAAAGACATTATCAAAAACCGATTGTTTTTGAAATCATTGACCTTAGTCCTGATTTTGGGTTTGGGGTCCCAGTTTGTGGGTTTCAATGCGGTTTCGTTTTACCTTCAGACGGTTTTGGAATCTACGCAGACCTCAGTTAGGCCTGAAGTAGCTTCTGTGACTATTGGTCTGATTCAGCTCTTTGCTAGTTTTTGTACTACACTGGTTACTGATAGATTTGGAAGGAAGTCTATTTTGTCTGTCACATGTGTTGGCATGGGATTGGGGATGGTGAGTTTCTTTTATATTATTTTATTAGCTTCTGTCATCTGCTTCGTTCACGTTCTCGTGGTATATAAAGTAGCCTGTATATGATTCTAGATTATAATCTATTCTTATTTCAAGTTTCAACCGGTTCCCGTCAGCCGGTTTGACGCGGTTGAGTAACAAACACAAAGTCACAAATTCACAAACTTTCGCATTTATAATATTACAACGTTTTTTCTAATAATAATAATAATAAAATATCATCATCTCCAAGGTTGCTTTGGCCACAAGCCTGCAACTTTGGTGTATTTCCCCAGAAATGGGTGAAGTTCTTACCTAAAACACAATAATAATTAAGGTTATTATTATTATATTGTCGACATGTGGGATGTGGATTCAGCAGTTATTGTGCCGATAGTCGCATCTGCCAATGGCCTCATTGCTAAAAGCATCGACCAACATCTGAGTAGGCTAGCGTTAGATGGTTGGGTCAAGGGCCTGATGCAGAAAGCAGTACTTCTGGACACGGCGCGTATTGTCCCGAAATTCCTTTCTCTGGAGCCCTGACCACCGGTAGCTTGGATTTCTCCCGTTACTGGTGGGCTACTGCTTTTTATATTTTTAAATGTTTTTTTTATACATAATATAATGAAATATTGAAAAATATATAAATCAAGTGTGAAAATAAATAAAGGGATTAATAATAACCTTTATTCTACACCTTAATTAAATCAATAGAATATACATGTAACGTTATAATAAAGAATAGTAGGGTACAAAGCCGGCCTTATCACTAAAACAATATAATAGTTAAGCAGAGCATGCAATCCCATGTTTTTATCTACTTCATAGAAATTTATCAGTTATGTCATGAGTTCCATGTGAATAGAAATTGACTGCACGGTTTGTGCGGTGGCTGGGCAACCGGCTGCCGTGCAACGTGTCGCGGGTTCGATTCCCGCACGGAACAACACTTTGTGTGATCCACAAATTGTTGTTTCGGGTCTGGGTGTCATGTGTATGATTATAAATGCACCCTCGACACAGGAGATAGTCCTAGTATGGGGCAACGATTTTTAAAAAAGAAAATAAAGAAAAAATAATGGATGTGAATCTGTGAAACCATCATACATCTGGTGCAATCCAAATCTGTGCGTTCTGTTACTAAGACATTTCCAAAAAACTGAACAAATACAATAATACCTACGTTACCCGACTTGAAAGTCGAACCTAAACCTCCAGTAGGCCAATGATACATTCGGTCACTTTCGAGTATTAATAATATATTGTATTTTTTTCAGCTTGGCTTGGGGTTGTTCTTCAAGCTGAAAGAAAACGGAGCAGTGGATGGTTTTATGAACTACGTGCCACTAATATCATTGATTCTAGTCGTATTCTGTTACAGTGCAGGTATTTTTTTATATATTATGTTTTTATTACATTCAAAGATTAATTTTTCTCCTAGCTTATTCTAAACCAGATAGTCTGAATGTCAGTATTTTACAAAAAGAACACAGAACGTATTTATGGACCAACCTGACGTATTTCCTAATCTCTAAAAGGCCGGTAAAGCATTTGTAACGCCTCTGGTGTTTTGGGTGTCCATGGACGGCGCCGATTGCTTGCCATCGGGTGATCTGTGTACTCGTTTACCGGCTTATACCACAAAATATGCATAACGTTTAAAATCATTACATTATGTCGATATCTGGTAGTAAGTAAAATCAAATAGTTAACATGACCATCTAAAGTATGATTGATAATATTTTTATCATTAAACGCGGAAGGAAAGAGACAGCAATACTTTCCCATTACTTATCTACACTCTCTCGTAATTAATACTAAGGCAGATCCTTATACGCCTTTGATGAACCATTTTTATTGCTATTTGTTTTTCAAACAAACGTATGATTTGATCAGAATAAATTATATTATTGAGGACAAGCTTCCATAATATAATTTGTTAGATTTTTACTCGACCTTTTTTCCTTCATTGTTTCGTGACAGTACACTGCTGTACTATGAGCCTATTAAGAAGTAAGCCAAAGATACATTAGGGCATAAAATATGTCCTGCGAGTACGACACGTGTCGTCAGTGACGTCGTATGAAGTATCGCGACGGTGCTAGACTTTGGTTGACATAGCCGCGGAGAACCTAACGGGTAACCGGGGCTCCGGCTCGACGTGCAGGAGAAGGAACGGGGTGGTTTTTAGTCAGTAAGAGTCTGACAAATATAGAGAATATATAGAGATACGAACAGATGTTGAATAACACAAGTAGGCTTGCCCATAATCTCCACGCTTCGCAGTCTGGATGCCAGTTAAATATAACCTTTACATAACCTATCGGGTAACTGGGGCTCCGGCTCGACGCGCAGGAGAAGGAACGGGGTGGTTTTTAGTCAGTAAGAGTCTGACACTCCCTCCCGCCTCACCCAGGCGGGAGCAGCCATTCGATGATTTTGCCCCCTTAAAAAAAAAAAAAAACTTTACTTTGGTTGACATGCCTGACAACATCGACGTCAGTGCGGACATAAGTTGCGCGTTGTCACCGTATATGTCAGGCGACATTGGACATCGCTCGACATGTTGCCGATTCATGTCTTGGGATATTTATCCACTAGTTTATTCTTGGCTGTAAGAACTTTAATTAACCCAAAATTTTCCATTTTTCAGGAATCGGTTCTCTAATGTGGGTATTAAACGCAGAACTCTTCGACGGACCGTCCAGAGGACTTGGGATGTCCATCTCCCTAATAGCAACAACCTTGTTTGTATTTTTAACGACAAAATATTTTGCTATAGTATCCCTTTCTATAGGACCAGCAGTAACTTATTGGATATTTAGTGTTAATTGTATATTGTTATGCGTTTTCATAATGTTTTGTATCCCCGAAACAAAGGGTAAAAGTTTTGCTGAGATTCAAGACATTTTGAGAGGGAAGACATGTGAGGATACTAAATGCTAGTTTAGTTTTTATGTTAGTTAGATTAAGATTGTTTTTGCTAATGACGGTCTATGTTTTAATATTTATTGACAAAAAGTGAGGCGCATATTGCGTTCTGACCAAGAACTAGTATATTGTTGTACGTAGGATATTACATTGATTATGATAGAAATGAGCGTACACGGAGGAATTCGCCGACGCCACGCCGACGTCTCGCCGACGCCACGCGGGAGGCGCGCCGGAAGCACGCGGGCGCCTCGACAACACCTCGAGTGGACCGCGCGCTGACCACCCGCCGTCTGCTTTTGTATTGACGTTATGAAATGTATCATACGACATACGATTTAAAGTTCATATTTAAATGACAAACTTAATGGCTGGGTTGGTGTCGTGCTTTTTAAATGTGGGTCCTTTATCCCTAAGGTAAAGTAGGCAAGTGGTAGAGGCGCCGCGAGACGCGCGGCTCGTGCGAAGTTGCCCATAGAGCGACAGTGGCGCCAAAATAAATTAGAGGTGCCTATGAGACGCTCGCTTTGGGCTCTCACTAGATTTAGAGCTCGGACACGGGACACGAAAACACGCAAAAATGTGCGAGCTCCCTCTACGCATCGCAAGAACTTGCGGAATGATTCGCATCGCGCATCAAAATCTCATCTTCCTAAAATCTTCTTTCATTCTTTTTTCTGTATCTCCTAAGCAATTATACAAGCGCACACTTCGTTTTACGATCCATATCATGACCTAGTTTTCAATTTAGTTATACGTTAAGTACAGTTGACGGTCGTCGAAGGAATGGTCACCTTGGGAGACTTGTGAGTATTGTCGCACGAAATCGCATTGCTGTTTTGTGAACGAACCCTTAATCTGCCCCTGAGCATACTCCTTTTCGGAAGGCCAGCAACGCACTAGTGACTTTGATATTGTTGGTATCCATAGGTAACGCTGATCGCCATCAAGTCATCCATCGTCTGCTCGTTTGTCAAAAAGGTATTGGTTAGTTTTGATTCGTCACAACGCGGTTTTGTACCCTTATAAGTTTATTTATTATATGTTAATTATTACAAGTTGGACCTACCGTCAGTCTTAAAATAATGTAATCTCATTTTATGTTTTAAGAGTGTGATACCTCTGTAGTATTTATTTATTTATACTGGAATACTGTTAGATAATTATGTGTTGAGTGGTTGCAACCATGACTACCAAACTAGGGATCACGGGTCACATAATGTCAAAACATGACTGTTTTAGTATTATGGACAAAGTATGACTGTATTTCTTAATGTGTAAGTTAAAATAAAGTTGTTATAAAACTGTGATAAAGAACGCTTTTGTTATTTTGTTAAATATCTTGTATCCCACATACCACAATGTTACATTGGAATCTTCAGTCCAAACATTGTCAAGTCGTGACAAAACATAACTATATATTGTCCAAATCTGAATTTAAAACTGTCTCATTCGCACAAATTCAGGAAACGTATACTGCTGTCATATAAACCCGTATAGTCAGCAACACACTTACAGTTGACCTCACAATAGGTACCTCTTTCTTTGAAGATAGTGAAATCTTCAAAGGCAAGGCATTGGTCACCATTCCCACCTATAAGGAGCACTGGATCCTTTACAATGACCAGCTCTAGAACCCTGTTATAGCCTAAATCTGTTTTGTGCTCTGTTTCATCAACAGCCTATAAATGCCCACTGCTGAGCAAAGCCTCTTCTCACATGGAGAAGGTTTGAGCATTAGTCACCACCCTTGCTCAATGCGGGTTCGGCAAATTATAAGCCCAGGTTTCCTCACGATGTTTTCCTTCACCGTTTGTCAGTGGTGTCTGAATAATCTTAGAAAGTGCATATAACTCGGAATAGGTCACATTGGTACTTGCCGTTGGTAGTTTTCGAACCCGCACCCTAATACATGAGAAGTAGGCGTCTTAAACCTATGGATCACCACGACACCTTGTGCCCTGTTTAGCTGTACATAAGTATGGAAAACAGCGTCAGCTATGCGAACTAACTTAGCATAGCTTTCGGTCAGCGACCGACTTAAGGTACTTTCTTACATCACACAAACAATAGGTCAGTTGACAAAAAAAACAAAAATAGTCTAACACTTATTTATTTCAGATCTGTCTTCTCAATATGACGTCCTAATTCCTCTTGTATTTCCGTAAACGTCTTGCCTTTAGTTTCTGGTATAAAAAATAATATAAACAAGATAGTTATAATACACGTACTGCTAAAAATCCAGTAAACATTTGCATCACCAATTGCAAATGACACATAGACAAAGTACTTGGTAAGTAGGAACGCGAAGAAAGTCGCGACACCTATCGCTACGGATACACCAACCGCTCGAGCTGGACCGTCAAATAATTCTGCTACCACTGTGAAACATAAGGAGCCCATACCTGGAAAGAGAACAAGACTTATTTAAATTATAGGGAACAGAAAGTAAAGGTCATTGAAGGAGACTTATCTTCGCCTGACTTGTTAGCTTTACGATTAACGAAATGGACATGAGACCTTGAAAAACAGTACGCATGAAGCGCTTCGCATCAAACTTCCTTGTGCGTACTGCTAAGCAGTGGAATTCTTTGCCAGAGTCTGCATTTCCTGAAGGGTATATAGGTGTTTTCAAGGCAGTGAATAGGTCGACGTGCTCCATCGTAGACCGCATCATCGCTTGCCACCAGGCGAGACAGTGAACAAACGTCGGCCTATCAAATATTTAAAACATAAAATAAGACCGTTCGGCGCTCTGATTGGCTGGCTCCAATGAACCAACCAATTAGAGCGTCGAATGCAGTCTCTTTTCGATCTCATTATCGTAAAATAAACTGGGACTAACCCACCTGTAGTGGCCTGTGGCTGATATGGTGATGATGAGGGAACAGAAAGATTGATTAATTTTTGGGGAACAAACATGGTTGTGGTGTACCAACGAACTCGCTTATTTTGTATTCTTTTAATACTTGATAGATTGGCGTGTGGCCTCCATCTCGCCTGGTAAGCGATGATGTGGCCGACGATGGAGCACGCCTGCCTATGAGCAACCTGTTCCCTCGGGACTCGAAGACACCCAAGTTATATTTGTCGGGAAACACAGATATTCCGGCAAAGAATACTATGCCTTAGCGGTTCGTACAAGGAAGCTTGACGCGAAACGCTTCGTGCAAATGGGTGGAATGTCCATCATATACGGGTGGCACCCTGCCGTTTATTTGATCCTCGATGTCGATTTGGAAATTCTTGAAAGGATGTTAAAAGGACTGTGAAGATGACCTGGGATTCGAGTTCCTGCACTTTTTAACTCGTAGAGGACCGTCATTATAGACACAATTAAAGAACAATAGGTTGCGGTTACCGGTGACCGCTTGGTGTTTGACAGTTTACTGCAATATTTTGATTGATTAGGAGAATTGAACCTATGCGTTCATGTTTATCATTTTTACTTTGAAACAGGAGAATCACGGAAGAGTATTGTCAATTTAATAGGCTTTAAAATAAGAGTCGGCAAGAGGCATATAATGCCCCAAGTATTAGAAGTGTACACAGACCACGGTAACCACTTAACATCAGGTGGGCCTTGTGCTTTTTGTCATCATTAGCGTCGTGGTATAAAAAAGACTGGTATAAAAAGATGTAATTGCTTAATGAAGTATTTACCTGCATTAAAACAGAATATAACCAGCATCATGGAGAGGAGTGGTAAGAAGTTGAGGAATCCAACTGTGGCCACTGCTATCGACTTCAATTGGAAAAATGTCCCCAATCCAAGCTGTAAAAGAGAAACATTTTGTTTGTCTATAACAAAACTTTAAGTAAATGCACTTTGGAAACGAAGGCGAATTTAAAAAACACGAGATTAACTTTCAAATTAAACTAAAACATGACTGAAAATGGAAAACATTGTCACATCACATAATGTAGGTATACCTAAGAATCTATATATGATGGATTTTTTTTAAGGGGGAAAATTCATCGAATCACTGCTCCCGCCTGGGTGAGGCGGGAGGGAGTGTCAGACTCTTACTAACTAAAAACCACCCTGTTCCTTCTCCTGCACGTCGAGCCGGAACCCCGGTAACCCGTTAGGTTCTCCGCGACATATATGATGGATATGATAAATTTCATAGCGTCAATATAAAAACCCTCGCTCGCTGACGGCGCGCTTACAATTGCTTTTTGCATTGTTTTCATAGCCGTGCCGGAGACACGCTTGTTAAGTCTGCGATGACCTTTTTTTATGGCATAAGCCGGTAAACGAGCGGACGGATCACCTGGTGGTAAGCAATCAGCGTCGCCCATGGACACCTGGAACACCAGAGGCGTTACAAGTGCGTTACCGGCCTTTTGGGGATTTGGAGTTTGAGGATCGTTGGGGATTCAGGAATTGGGGAGATTGGTGAAAGGGAGGGTAATTGGGCCTCCGGTAACCTCACTCACGCGACGAAACACAACGCAAGTGTTGCTTCATGCAGGTTTAAAATCATAGATACGAATAAGCTGATTAGTTTTTTTTCTAACTCATTGACGATATCCTAATTACATCTATTTATATGCGTAGGCGCCTCAATATTAATAATCATCACAAACGATTGAATCTATTTTGATAAAATTACTTGCAAATCATTAAGTCACATTTTTGTCTATTTGTTGTAATGTGATAAGAAAATGTCCGTTCATTTGTAATAATAGATTATTGTGTTTTTAAAGGAAAAAATATAAATCACTAGCTTTTACCCGCGGCTTCGCTCGCGTCACAAAAGGATAAAAATAGCATATGTGACGTATACACACAGCGCCATCTATACCAATGATTTCGTGTTTCCTCGAGAATAACAAATTTTTAAATAATACGGTCTGGATTAAATAATAGGGTAATAAAAAGTACCCTATTATTTAATCCAGACTTCTAACTTTACGTCTGAAAAAAATCAAAGCAATCGATTTAGTAGTTACGGCGTGAAAGCGGAACAAACAAACAAACAAAGAAACAAACTCACTTTATGATTTTTTAATATTAGTAAGGAAGTAAGGATGAATTTGAAAATATAAGGCCAAGTTACTAGTGTTTTAGTAGGCTCGATTATAATAATTTGGGGCTAAGAACATGCTGCTAATTATCTTTTAGTTAGAGTTATTTTTCTCAACAAATAAAATATTTGGATAATTCTCTTATAAACTACGTCTAAAAACTGCCTTAAAGCCCGTTCTTTTTTGGAGTCAGTTAATTATTATAGGTACTTGAACGTTTTGAAAACCGCATCAAAATCAGTTCACTAAATCACGAGATAATCGCGCGCCAACATACATACATAAAGGTCACACTGAGAACCTCCTACTTTTTTGAAATCGGTTAAAAAGGATTATAATTATATTAAGTGGTGAACATTTTACCTCCATGGAACACACTCCACGAATACATTTATCGAGAATGGTAATAAAACCAAATAATATTTTCATTTACAGAAAAGAAAGTGTAGCAAGTGCGACTGCCGGGCAAGGGGTCTCAGGATCGATTCCCGGGTCGATCAAAGTATTACTGGATTAAAAAAAAACTCAGTAGTAGCACGGAGTCTGGAATTGTGCCCAGTATATGGCAATAGGCTCACCCCCTATTACATGGGACTCATAGATAACATAAATAGTGAAAAGTGGGTGTTACATTGTACAGTTGCATTATGTGCACCTCTGCCTACCCCTTCGAGGATAAAAGGCGTGAGGCACCTACGGTGCAATATCGTCACTTATGCAATTTTTGTCAAACCTTAACTGATGAAAGAATACTCCAAATTCACCTCTTTACTTGGTGCGTTATTTATTGTCATTTGTGTAGTAAGCAAACTGACATTGTGAGGGCATTACTGTCGTTACGGTTTTGGCGCTAATCTGGACGGCACTAGGAGAAACAACGTTTCATTGTTCAGTTGCGCACGGGCCCCCGCAATACCTAAGTGACGGTATAGCACCGGAGGTACGACATATACCTCTATAAAGATTTCTTACTCGGCATCTGCGCTAGAAAAGAACAAACAAAGGAGAAGTTATTAAACTCACCATTCCCAAAGTCATTCCCATGAGCGACGTGATCAAGATAGGTTTCCTTCCAAATCTATCAGTTGTAAATATAGTGCAGAATGAAGCAACCAATTGGATACACCCATTTACAACAGATGCTATCTGTTCACTAACAGAAGTATGTGTGGATTGCAATATAGTTTGCATATAAAATAAAACAGCATTGTACCCAATTAGTTCTAAAAACATGGTCAAAAGGACCACTTTGCCCAACGTCTTTAGTGTCGTGCGGT